TTTCCTGAAAATTTTTTGTACATCTGGAAACTTTTTGGTAACCCCCCCCCCCCCTCTATCTAACCACACACACACCCTTCGACGAAGTGCTCGCAACGGCACTGAGTATATATCTTTTGAAAACAGGCGAGGGGTTATTGCATGCATGTATTTCTAGTAGTAATCATAATAATGTAACAACTTTAATCTAACAAACTTACTGAGTGATTTGTTCGGTGGTAAACCACATCTGCCAGCCATATTTGTGTTTTTAAATTTGACTAGGTAGCCCTTCTTACAGTATGTGTGTTTGCTTTTTGCTTATGCAAGAATGAGTGTTGGGCCCTGAAGGCCGGTTTTAAGTCAGTTTTTCTGATTAGATTACGTCATGCGGTTAGATAGCGTGCATGTTTTGTGTGGTGTTAATTTTGTGTATGCATAATTAGAGCGTGATGTGCTGTAGGTTATCTGATAACTAAGGAATGTTTAAAATTTTCCCATTAGTCAGAAGTGTGAGTGCAATGTTGAGTTGTATGTTGAGTTATGTGATATGCGTGGGCGCGATTGTCTGTCCGCCCCCCAGGCTTACTAGTGAAAAAGGGGAACATTTCCAAATCCATTGTGGCTAGGCATATGCATCGGGAGGGGAAAAAATAAAATAAATAACTAAATAAACAAATAAATAAGAATAAAACCAAATATATATATACACATATATACACACACGTACACACATATATAGCCTACATACTCATGTGCAAATATAATCAATATTACAAATATATACAATGTATATATATAGTGTATATCCCTATGTAGATTTTTGGTTATATAATAAAATTTAAGAGTGTGCAGTGATTTTGAATACACTGTGATATTTACAAGTCCCATGTCTTGAGATTTTATAGATGACCTTTTGTTCAATTTAACATTTAAAACTAGGTTGTAAAAGTCTTTCTTATTAAGTCTTTTGAGTTTTGTGTTTTCTTGGTTTGTCCATCATCATGCCCTTTTTGTATATTGCCATTATTGGTTTGTCATCAGACATCATCATCAGGGGTCTTTGTCCTTGATGTTTGTTTTTAAGTAAGCATGACCCCAGTGATTGTTTGTTTGCGTTGTGTTTCCGTATATTGTTGTGGTACGTAGTTATTCGCTGGATTTGTTTCCAGTTTCTTTTAGTTTGCTGCTAACTAGCATTTCTTTAATGTTTTTATTACGTTTGTATGCGACCATAGGTATTTTTGGCCATAATATTTTTAACGTTGGGTCGCTTTCTATTAGGTGCCAGTGTTTCTTTAAGATTTGGCCAATATGCATTGTGTTAGTATTGAAAGGAACTCTAAACGTTGGTCGAGTTTCATTTTTGTTTACTTTGTCGTTGTAAAGTAGTTGTTTTTGTGTGTGCTGTGTAGCCTTGCCAAAGGCATTGTCAATTGTGTCAGTTTTGTATCCTCTAGTCATTAGAATAATTTTGAGTTTTTCTAGTTGGTTCCGTAGTATGTTGTCATCTGTGATGATTCGTCTGTAGCGTAGTGCTTGACTGTAGATTACGCCTTGTTTACATGTGTTCGGGTGAAAAGAGGTGTTATGTAGTAACATTGTCTTGTCTGTTGTTTTGATGTATACGTCTGATTCTAGTTTGTTTTGTTCGTTGACATAAATTCTTGTGTCCAAAAAATGCACAGTCTTAGTAGAGTATTCATATCGAATTTGATGGTCGTGTGTAGTTTGTTCATTTATTGAAGAAATCTAATTAAGGATGCCTCACCGTGGCACCATATAGCAAAAATGTCATCCAGAAATCTGACCACTCAAGAGGAGTTAAACCTTCTGGTGCATTCCTAAGGATTTCTTGCTCCAGTGAAGCCATAAAAATGTTGGCGTATGAAACTGCCATGGTTGTTCCCATTGCAGTCCCGTGTGTTTGTAGGTAGTATTTGTCATTGAATTCATCAAAGTAGTTATTTTCAAGTATTAGTTCAAGCATGCTTCGGATAATTTGTATGTTGACCCCTGTAGTGTCGTGATTGTTAAGGTGTTTAGTGGAAGCGTCAATTCCCTCATGGTTGGGAATATTCTTATATAGACTTTTAACGTCAATTGTGATTAATATAAAGTCATTTGGTAGTGTTTCGTTTAGTTTAAAAATTCGTTTAAGAAAGTCTGTAGAGTCCTTGATATAGGATGGTATGTATTGTACAAGTGGTTTCAGATAAATATCCACATACTCTGATAGTCTGACGGTGGGACCCTCACATCCTGAGATAATTGGTCTTCCCGGTACGTCAGGTTTGTGTACTTTAGGAAGCAGGTATAATGTAGGCTTCCTAATTGGTTTATCAATAGATAGGAATTTAAATGTTGTGTAGTCAATAAATTGATCTGTGCAAAAAGTTTTAACGATCTTGTTTAATTTAGTAACCAGTTGTGGGAATGGGTCTGTTTCGATAAGCTTGTAGATTCGTTTGTCGTTTAGTTGTTTATTTGCCTCGGCTATATAAGATTCTCTCGGCCAGATAACTATAGCGCCCCCTTTGTCGGCGGGTTTCACTATAACTTGTTCGCTGTTGCGAAGGTTCTTTATAGCCTGTTTTTCTGCATTAGAGACGTTGTTACTTAGCCTAGTGGTTTTATTGTCTTTGTTTTGCCCGTGAGAGGTTTTGAGTTCGAGTAAAATATGAGACATGTATTCCAGAAGGTTAGTACTGTTTGGTAGCGGTGTGAAGCCACTTTTTGCTTTGAATGGATGTCTTATATGATTGTTGTTCGAGAGTCGGTAATGGTATTGAAGGTATATGTTTCTTCGGTATTGTAGGTATGATGTGTAGACAGATTGGTAGCCAACCGGTTTAGGTTGGGGGACAAATTTAAGTTCCTTTAGTCTAGGACCTGTATATGAGTTTGTATGCGTTTCATTTAGCACAGGTAATCTCAACTGTTTTAGGGTAAAATGACCATGGCGATCAACATGGCATATGTGCCAAAAGCTGAATCCTGATCCGGGACGAAAGTCCTGAAAATGACCCCGCCCTGAAACGGCAGTGTCGACATAGCTCTAACTTCAGAAAACAAAAAGCGATAGTCTTTCTGAAGTGCTTATAGTGTTTAGAAGGGTTGCTTTTAGGAGTGGTCATTGGAAGAAAAATTTGTCTAAGTATAATATTTTACAAGAAAATGACCATGCACCACCCCAGGTAAATTGCTGATTATGCATAAAATAACTAATATGCCTGGCAGAAATTAAATATTCTTATTTCCTAAAAAAAAATTATCATGGGGTTAAAAGCTATGCTTAATTTAATATAAATATTGTTGATTTCATAAGGATTGTCATTGTTTTCTTTAAATATAATACATTTTATTTAACTTACTCCCCTCCCCCACGAAAACGCGATTTCAGCCATATTTTGCCGTCTTGTTTCCTTTTTATCGCCGAATCACGCAAATATCATCCAGTTATTGTACTTTTACATAATCATAAATGGCTGAAGAAGATTTCAAAGAAGGTTTCATCCACTTTTGAAACAGTGCAGTGTATTTTATCTTCGATAATGTGTCCTTCGATATCTCGTCAAATTGCCGCCATTTTAATGGCTCGCCGCTTCCTGCCCGATAAATGCCACTTCTTCGTTTTCATACGTATTTAGATTACATTATCCAAGAGTACTTCATTGTAGAATAGTCCCAATCCAAAAATTGGAAATATTATTTGTACTTGGGAGGAAAAAACCTCCCAGTACAATTGTCCTGTTAGAATTCAAAAGAAATAATTTAAAAGTCACGCGCAAGTTCGCGAAAACACCTCGTGGGTTACATAACAGGGGGGGTGAATATTTTCACGAAACGTTTGTTCGCCACCACAGCAACCTAACTAAATGTATTATTTTTTTCTATTTTTATAATTGATGATAAATATACGCAAATATTTATTGTTTTTATCAAAAATCACAAATATACAATAAATATAATGTACCTAACTTGGGTTGCTGTGGCCTGTACTACTACTGCTACTACTGCTACTACTACTGCTACTACTGCTACTACTACTACTACTACTGCTACTACTACTACTGCTACTACTACTGCTGCTACTGCTACTACTACTACTACTATACTATTACTACTACTACTACTACTACTACTGCTGCTACTGCTGCTACTGCTACTACTACTACTACTGCAACTACTACTGCTACTGCTGCTACTACTGCTACTACTACTACTACTACTATTACTACTACTACTGCTACTACTGCTACTACTGCTATTACTACTACTACTACTACTACTATACTTACTGCTACTACTGCTAC